CTGGGTGGAGATCTGTTTCTTAGCTCAGTTACCAGTCTTTGGTTTTTTAGGTAGGATCATATCCACATGCAGTTTGGGGTGAATCTAGGAGCTCATGAAACAATGGGATAGAGTTGTTTTTCTGAGCATCTCCCTCTTCACAATCCCTGGTACTCTGCAGTACCTTGGAGTTTCCCTTTTCAATTCTTTGGTAAAAAATCTGAGTCTTTATTTACTTCTCTCTGCTGTTCACTTTTTGCCACCTTATCCAAGCAGTAGGAGGGCAAAGAGAGAAATTATATATAAATTTGGGTTTGCCCCCACTGTCTTGGTGCCACAGATACTCCAATCAGAGAGGAAAGATTCCCCCTTCCCTCACCATTTTAGGCACTTGAAAGCACTCCTGCTTCCATCGTCATGGTTGATTCAGCTGTTTTAAGGGGATTGTCTGTTGGATAGGGTGTGAGAGAATGGAGAAACAACTTGGTGTACTTCCCTATTTTCTCTTAATATTAGGAGATGTATTTCCTGTTCTTTCCAGTGTGCCCCCTACTGGGTTTGGGGTTGCTTTCAATCCAGTCCGTGGCTACTGGAGGGAAAAACTGGTAAACTCACTACCAATCATTTCACTTTGAATGCTGGTATTTTTCCTCAACTTGCTTGGTACAATATGTATTTTTTAACAGTTCTTGAATAGCTGCTCCACGCATTCTGTTCAGGTCTTACAGTTTCACTCAGTGAGAGATAATGGGTTGAGTGTGATTATTCTGTGTTAACTGGAATCAGAACACTTGTATAATCATACCCCTTGTATACATTAGTTTTCATATATAAATATGTATAGATAATGAATTGTTTTCTTTGGTGTATATTTGTGAATAGTTGGTACTATTCTTTTCATACTCTACCTGAGGCAACCACTTTATACTATAAATACTCTCCTGGTTATTTAATACTTTTTTTTTTTTTTGGCTCATACCATGCAACATGTAGGATCTCAGTTCCCAAACAGGGGTCAAACCTGCACCCCCTGCAGTGGAAGCATAGAGTCTTAATCACTGGACTACCAGGGAAGTCCCTGGTTATCTATTGCTGTGGAAGAAATCACCTTCAAACTTAGTAGCTTAAAATAACACAAATCATGTTATTATTATAGATTAAAGCATTGATTAGGCTTAGCTAGATGATTCTTCCTTGGGGAGGGTCTCTCATATATTTATAGTAAAATGGTGGCTGAGGATAAAATAATCGGAAGGCTCACTCATTCATGTGTGTGGCATTTGGTCTGGGAACACTCAAAAAGCTGGGGCTTCGGTTGTATTCATCTCTACTGCTATGTGGTTTCTCCATGGTTTCTCCAGCATGAAAACGTCAAGATAGATAGATTTCTTTTTTTTTTTTTTTAATTTCTAGCTTTATTGAGATATGATTGATATATAACACTGTGTAAGTTTAAGTAATATGACATGTTGATTTGATATACATTGCAATATGATCACCACTGTAGCACTAGCTAATATCTCCATCCTGTCACATAATTACCCCTTCTTTTTTGTGGTGAGAACATTTAAGCTATACTCTCTTAGCAACTTTCAAGTATATAGTACAGTATTATTATCTATGATCACCATGCTGTACATTAGATTCTCAGAACTTGTTCATCTTATAACTGGAAGTTTACACTCTCTGACCAATATCTCTCCATCTCTTCCATGTCCCCAGTCCCTGGTAGCCAGTACTCTACTCTGTTTCTATCAATTTGGCTTTTTTAGATTCTAAATATAAGTAAGATCATACAGGATCTGTTTTTCTCTTGAGTTATTTCACTTAGCATAATGCCCTCAAGTTTCATCCATGTTGTTGCAAATGGCAGGATTTCCTTCTTTCTCATTGCTGAATAACACGGTCGTGGAATATTACATATTGCAATATATATATATATATGTATATATATATATATACATATATATATATATCTCACACCTTCTTTATCCATTCATCTGTTGATACTTAGCTTGTTTCTATATCTTTGCATTGTGAGTAATGCTGCAATGAACATGGGGCTGCAGGTATCTTGACAAGACCTGATCTCAATTTCTTTGAATATATACCCAGAAGTGGGATTGCTGGATCATATGATAACCCTATTTTTAGTTTTTTGAGGACTCTTCATACTGTTTTCCATAGTGGTATCACCACTATAGAAATGGTGGAATTTACATCCCTGCTAACAGTGCACAGAGGTTCCCTTTTCTCCACATCTTTGCCAGCATTTGTTATTCTTGCCTTTTTGATAATAGCCATTCTGACAGGTGGTGATATCTCATTATGGTGTAGATTTCTTAGATGGATGCTCAGGGCTCCAAAGTGAGTGGAGAGCAAGAGTGTAAAAGTGAGCCATGCAGGAACCAGATTGCCTTCTATGACCTAACTTTCCAAGTTGCAAACTTCTGTACTTTGAGGTGGTTATAAGGGTCTACCAAGGTTCAAAGAGTGAATATAGATGCCATCTCTTAATGGGGGAGCAGAAAGGTTCTGGAAAAATATGTGAGATTGGAAACATGGTTTTTGGCACTTTTAGACAATACAATCTGTTGTAAATACTATTAAATCTGTACTTTTAAGGTAGATCCTAAGTTGTTCTCAGTGTGAATTACAGAGAGAAGCCCTTTCCTTGACTTTTGGAAATCAGGGAGGTTGAATATCAAATTTTAGGACCAGTATGGCCAATTTTCAGCAAAATGGATTTTAGTGAGTCTCTAGAAATTAGATTAAGTTTTCCCATTGGTTAACTTTCTCGAGCGTTTGCAATTTCATTGGGAACTTCCACGAAACTTCAAGGTATATGGACTTTGTAGAGGTTGTGTGACAGGCTGGAGGAATATGGAAAGATGCTAGCTAAAATCTAGATTAAGAGATTCTCTTGCTGCAAAGAAGGTACTAAACGGGCTTGGCAGAAGGGACCTGAAGGGGAATCAGGAAATCTGCAGTGCTCCAAATATCTTTCCTACCTGATGCCATCTCTGCCCTTATTACTCTTTTTAGTTAAGCTTTGCTTTCTTCAATGAATCCTTGTAAAAATGCAAACTCCTCTGGGAGAAAATATGAACAGTTGGTACAGATTTCAGAGTGCTTCAGCAAACACTTATGAGCACAGAGCTAGGCATTGGGAATTCAGTGACTCATTAATTCCATCTCTCTTTCCTTCCTTGACCAGGGGAATAAGGTGGATTGAAAATTTTAGTTCCTGAGGATTTGTTCTGGGAGGCTTTATCATCCAGAATCCACTTTATGAATTTTTTTCTTTGATGGAGCTGGGCCTGGTCTTAAGAATCACCAGAAACTCCCTGGGCTATCAGGAGGTCAACATAAAAGTGCCACCAGGGTAATTCTGCCTCAAATATTGTCACCTTGCTTATTTAACTTATATGCAGAGTCCATCATTTGAAATGGATGAAACACAAGCTGGAATCAAGATTGCTGGGAGAAATATAAATAACCTCAGATATGCAGATGACACCACCCTTATGGCAAAAAGGAAAGAGGAACTAAAGAGCCTTTTGATGAAAGTGAAAGAGGAGAGTGAAAAAGCTGACTTAAAACTCAACATTCAAAAAAATGAAGATCAAGGCATCCGGTCTCATTATTTCATGGTAAATAGAGGGGGAAACAATGGAAAGAGTGACAGACTTTATTTTCTTGGGCTCCAAAATCACTGCAGATGACTGAAGCCATGAAATTAACACACTTGCTCCTTGGAAGAAAAGCTATGAATAACCTAGACAGCATATTATAAAGCAGAGACATTACTCTGGCAATAAAGGTCGATAGTCAAAGCTATGGTTTTTCCAGTAGTCACATATGGATGTGAGAGTTGGACCATAAAGAAGGCCGAGAGGCAAAGAATTGATGCTTTTGAACTGTGGTGTTGGAGAAGACTTTTGAGAGTCCCTTGAACAGAAATGAGATCAAGCCAGTCCATCCTCAAGGAAATCAGTCCTGAATATTCATTGGAAGGACTGATGCTGAAGTTAAAACTCCAATACTTCGGCCACCTGATGCCGAGAACTGACTCATTGGAAAAGACCCTGATGCTGGGAAAGATTAAAGGCAGAAGGAAAAGGGGGTAACAGAGCATGAGCTGGTTGGATGGCATCACTGACTTGATGGACATGAGTTTGAGCAAGTTCCTGGAGTTGGTGATGGACGGGAAGCCTGGTGTGCTGCAGTCCATAGGGTCACAAAGAGTCAGACATGACTGAGCCACTGAACTGACTCAACCACCTGCTGCTCATCCGCCCAGAAGGGCAAGTGTCCAGTTCCTTCTGGTTCAAGCCACTTCCCTGAGGGTTAGTTCCACAGTGCAGAAAAAGAAGTCCCTCTACTTGCCAAGTGATGAAGGTGCTATTTTTAACACTGCTTCCTCATTTTAACCCCTTATCGGTTCTTACTTTGGGTCAGGTTAAAGCAGAGGTTTGTTTGAATGAAGCCTGACGGATTCTGGGAAGCCCGGAATGCTGGAAGTCACTCTGAGAGATGCGGGAATAGAGGTGTACAGGGGTACCCTGGCTTCAAGATTCCTAGGCTCCTCCAGAACCGCCACTTTTACTGGGCCCAGAGCGGCTACACACTGGCCAGGGATCAAACACTTCGAGTGGCCCCAGACACAGCGGCCCCAGACCGCACATCCAAGAAGATGCTCTTGCCAGGCACGGGCGACCTCTGGCGTCCCATTTACGAAGCGCGGCGGCGAGTGCCCAGAAAGCGGCTCCGCGAGCCCAGATGGCCTGGCCAGGTACGCTGGGACCAAGGGAGGAGCTCAGTGAGGAGAGGGGCCCGCGGCCCGGCCCGGGGGCAGAGGGCGACCTCGCTGGAGCGGGGAAGGGCGGCGGGAAGGGGTGGGTGGGGGGACGCGGCGCGGCTGGGGACCGCACAGGTACGCGGGCGGGGGGCGGTGCTTGGGGATCCTGCGCACTGCGCGCGCCCCTCCCCCAGCGCGACTCCCGGCGCGGCCCCAGCCCCTGCCCGGCTCGAGCTGGAGGAGGAGCTGCAGCGGCCGCGGCTACTCCGGCAGGTCGGTGGCGCCAGGGGAAGCTGCCGACGGCGCGGGCTGCCGGTCCCAGCGTGCAGGAGGCGCGGGCGGCGCTTGGGCCATGGAGCCTGGTGACGCGGCGCTCCTCGGCTCGGGGCGGGCGGCCCGGGCGCTGCCACCGCGGCTGCTGCTGCTGCCGCTGCTGCTGGGTCGGGGGCTGCGCGGGGCGGCCGCGGCCTCCTCCTCTGGGGCGGCGGCTGAGGACAGCAGCGCCATGGAGGAGCTCGCCACGGAGAAAGAGGCAGAGGAGAGCCATCGGCAGGACAGCGTGAGCCTGCTCACCTTCATCCTGCTGCTCACGCTCACCATCCTCACCATCTGGCTCTTCAAGCACCGCCGGGTTCGCTTCCTGCACGAGACCGGGTTGGCCATGATCTACGGTGAGCACACCCCGCACCCTCACCCACCGTCCCCTACTCCCCTCGGGCGCCCGGGCTGCTGCGCTTCCGCCCCCCCCTTCCCCGCCCCGCGACGCCTTGTGCTCCCCCTTCACTTGCCGACGTGTTTCGTTTCTTTTCCGTTTCCCGCTGAGACGGTCTTGGCTCCCAAGGTCAACTGTCTGCATTTTCGGGCTCCCTATTACCATGAAAATGAATTCCACCTCATTTCGACGTTTCTTCCAGGGGAACCGGGAAAATGAAAGGCACCGGGATGGTCTGGTTCAGTCCAGTCGGTTCCGTTTCAGCCTCGCACCCCACCCCTCGCGCCCCCGCCCCCAGCCCCAGTTCAGCTTCACAGGATGTGTGTGCCGGGGCGGGAGGGGGTGACCTCCTAGGGATCTCTCCACCTCAGGAGGCAGGCCACCGTGAGGGTGGGTAAGGGCTTCCTCGACTTGGGTAGGGGCTGACGGGGCTTGGTGGATGCCACATAAACGGTCAACCTGGGTGGGCGCCCAGTTCTGACATCTGTGTTCCCGAATGTCTTGTGAATAAAGTCGGAGCTTGAAGCATTGTGAAAGGTGAGCGTGGTCCAAGACCTACGATGATGTATCGCCATGGCGGACCTAGTCGGGAAGATGGGCACGCCTCCCACTCTTGTGTCCAAGTGGGAAGTTATACCCACTTGCTTTCTTTAAGAGAAGGGGAGCTTTTGCCTTCCTCTGATTGTAACAAGGACGCTGCTTTGAAGATACATTTAAGGGTGTATGAAGAGGAAAAGTAGTGGTTTTAATTCTGGAGTCAGCCTTCTTTTGTTGTGAAAGATGGACTGTGCCATCATCCTTTCCTGAGTTTAATGGCACATGGTGTATTACATACACAAGGGTCAGCACAAATCTTGGCGTCACTGCGTGGATGTCAGCCGCAATCTGAATCATCCCTCTTCCCCTGCCATGCCACCGCCTCCACCCTCACACCTGCCCACCGTGACATGACTTCAAACGGGAACCAAGTATTCTCCTTTTGAATATAATGCAATGGAGTTAAGACCCAGGTTGGCATCCTTATGTGAAATAGATGAGTCCACTTAATGACTGTTCCCAGTAGGAAACATTTGACTTCATCAGTTATACTGGAGGGATCTCTCCACTCAATTTCCATTCAGGGTTCTGTGATAGAGAGTGGAAAGTGAAAACGTTAATCTTTAATGTTACCCTTGGCCCTAGGCCTTACTCATGGTGCTTGATTGTTGACAGCCCTGGCTCATGGTCACCAAGGTTATGAAGTGCTCTCCTGGAGCCCTCTAGGTTTTAAAGAGACCTGGCCTAAACAGATCTTGAATTGAAGCAGGACCAGGTCTAAAACTGAGTTTGGTTATTGCAAATTACAGATGTGAACAGAAAACCTTGCCGTTCTTGGGCTTTGTGGTTTGTGTCAATCTGTGACAAATGACTGATGCCCAGGCTAAAGCAGGTAAGCTCGAAGGTTTCCTGAGCTGATAGCAGAGGGGGAGTTGAAACATGTCATTTCACGTGGTTGACTCTGAGCAAATGAGCATTGCCTTTAGCCATAAAAATATTTTTATTTTATAGCCCCTAGATCCAATTCATTAAAGTACAGTGTGAAATACTTTTAAAAGGTAGATTGGACAGGCTCATAAATATATGCTCCAAGTGCATGGAAAATGAGATTTAGAAATATATTTTCTGAGGAGTACTCCATGTTCTTAGGAGCTCAGTCACCTTTAGCTTAAGGCTTGAAAACAACAGTAGAATTTTCCTTTGCAGATATGTACTTTTTAAACTCATCTCAATCTTTTAGTCATTGGGATTGTGCTCCCAGTGTAGTGTTTCACTTTGTGTTATGGAAATCTGGTTTAATTGATGATGTTCAGAAAAGGCAACATCCTCTCATAGCATTCCCCATAATTTTCTTCTGTGTCTTTGGCTTTTAGTGTTACTTTGAAATGCGGTAAGAAATTTGTTTGTCAATGTGTGATGTCCTAGGTTCTGCCAAATATTAATATCTTGATGTGGATTGCCTGTAACTGAGAGAAAATATTTCTTTTTCTCTAAGAGATATTTAGTCTTCTGTTTTAAGTTCTGCCTCCGCCCTGCCCCAAGCCCCAAATCTGAATTCTGATGTCATTTGATTAGCTAACTATCCAATATATACTTAAGGGATAGGAATTTTGATACAAAAAAATTCAATATGAAAATCTTTGAATACTTAAGTGAATGCAGTACAGATTTCAGGACTTCTTTTTCTCAGTAGAAAGACATCAGATTTCATTTCTTGATATCAGTAGAGGAAGTGAGTGTCCTCTGAGTAATAAAGGGCAAAAAAATCTAAGGAAACATTTGTTAAGTATCTGCTGTGTACTGGGTGCCCAAGTTAATTTATGGAGATAACCAATTTAACTTTTAAATGTTGGTAGGTTTTCATGAGTGAAAGAGTTCAACTGTGAATTTCAAAACTTTTACCTTGAAATGAAAAAAATCTAATTCCTGGCCCTTTAAAAAATACTTAACTGGTACTTTGAGAGGAAGGGCTTTAATATTTAAAATAAATTGTGGTGTGTGTGTATATATATATATGTGTGTATATATATAAACAATGTATTAATATATAGTAATATATTAAAATAAATTGTGATAATATGTGTATTTGCTGGTATAGTCATAAAATATCTCTAGGAGGACATGCAATAGCCTAACACCATTGGTTTCCTTGTAGGGGAGGAACAAGGTAGGTGGAATGTAGGGGTGGGAGGGAAGACATCACTTTATATACTTTTGTGCTTTTTTTTTGAACTTTGGAAGTGGAATCACCTAATAGCACGTCCATGCTTCCATTCTGTGGCATTCTTGTGGCATTTTAAGATACTCCTCAAATCATCCAGTTTGATGCCCACTACTCCCTATTTAAATCAAATTGTTATTAATTTTCTGTGACTTTTCAGTTGTTGGCTGTACCCGTGGAACTTTCGGAGCCCGGGGTCTGGAATGGAGACATAACTGGGAAAGGGGGGAGGTTGTCCATCTTTTTCCTTTCTCCTTTTATCTCATTGTCACCAAAGAAGAGTTGATGTACTTTAGGAGTGGTGTGCACAGATAGATCCCAAAGGACCTAAGGACTGTAAGAGACACGCTGTGAATACTTAGCACTTCAATGGAAAGGAATTCCACCACCCACCAAGGGACAGTTAGAAGCACTCCTCCTCCCTAACCACTGGTCCAGGCAGCTAGCAGGGAAGGTGACCATAGACTTGACTCTCCAGGGACCTTGAAGGCAGCCCCGCTCCACCCCTGCCAGCCCTGTGATGACGGCTGCAGGGCAGCGGGTGAGGCACTCGCCTGGCACCAGTCTAACCTGTTTTGTCGGTGCAGGGAGCTTCCAGCTGTCTGGCTCTGTACATGATTAAGTGTCATCCTAAAGTTACCAAGCCCCTCGTGTCTGTGCAGCAAAAATAGCAAGTGTTTGAGGAGGGAAAGGCGGCATAAACAGACTGTGTCAGTTAATTGTGGTTCTCTCTCGTGTGTACAGTAGTTCCACTTTCCCCATAATGTTTTTGTGACAGCTGATACAGGTCCAAAATATCTAACTCCGTCATCCTAGCCTACCACCTGCTTCTCGCTTGCCCCTCCTCCACACCTATCAACTTTTCAAGTATGTGTTGCACAGAACCTTCAAGGTTCCATGGACCGTGGGCTCGTTGTTGTTTTGCTGGTGCTGGATTGCTAAGCACAGGCTGAGGGAGGGTTCATAGGCAAAGTCTGAAAGGGGAAATTATGGCTTTTTGCAGTAGCGTGAAATTAACATTTGAGCCTGTGAGCAAACATTTCAGAACCACCCTCTTCCTGGTTAATTGGGAGCCCTCCCTCTTTTTCAAGAGCCTTTCACTTTGGCCCTAGTTTGGGGAAGCTCTGTATAGTCTCAGTTTGGTACCAGATGCCCTGGGTTCAAATGCTGGCCCTCTTACTTGTAAAGCTGTGTAACACTGGGCAAGCTCTCTGAACCTTAGTTTCCTTTTTTCAAAAATGGAGACAGTGTCACTCACCTCACAGAATTTTTGTTATTGTGATATTGTAAAGGTCAAGTGTGGTGTGTCTGCTACTTACTTGGTAAATATTAGTTCTCCTTTTCAATTTAGACTTGTGATTCTTTGGTCAGCATTGCTACTTGGGTAGAGTCCTGCTGTAATTTTAAAAGGCATTAAGATAACAGTGGGAGTGATGAGAATTGTCATTTTCTTGGTAATCCATGGCTAATTCATTTCAATGTATGACAAAAACCACTGCAATGATGTAAAGTAATTAGCCTCCAACTAATAAAAATAAATGGGAAAAAATAATTTATTTATTTTTTAATTGAAGGAGAATTGCTTTGCAGAATTTTGTTGTTTTCTGTCAAGTATCAACATGAATCAGTCATAGGTATACATTGTAATTTTTTGTAGGCCATTTGTTAATAATTTGTTAATAATTTGCTAAGGTAGCTGTTCTACTCTTTTATCCAGCAGTCTCCATTCTTGGGCTTTATATTTCAGAAATAGTCACATTAGTGTGTTACATTATTATATAGATGGCGATATTCATTGTAGCAGGAACAAGTTGAAATACTCATTAAGAAGGAACTGGTTAAACTGGAGCACATTCCCACTAAGGAATATTGTACAGTTGGGAAAAAGGTGTTTTGAGGCAGCTCACTTAGTGTTGTGGAAAAAACAAGGCACAAAGCAGTAAGTATAGCATTTATTTTTTTAATGTCCTGTGATATAAATACATAAACATGATACATATACGTTTACATATGACATGTGTGCATCTCTGGAAAGAGGCACAAACTTTGACAGTGGGATCAGTTGTTGAGAGGGAGGAAAAGGAGATGTTACTTTTCCTTTTATACTCTTCTGAATGGCCTGAACTTTCTATAACATTGACCATTACTTCTACAATTGAAACATTTAAAAAATAAAGCAAACAACTTTTTTTATAGCAAAA